CTGCAACTACGACCGTTTCACTCTCCACCCTCCGGCTCGGTGTCGCTCGTAAAATCCTTAAGCATACGAGAACCATTTCATGTGCTGAGAATCGGTTGCCTTTGCGTCGGCTTCTGTCACAAATTCAAAGCTCTAAATATAAATTTACGTTACGTGCGAGGGTGTGGAACGCCTCAAGTCATCATAACTTCTGCTTCCAGGCGAGCCAACTTCTTCTATTGCCTCAGTCTCCGCCTAGGGTAACCCCTCCCATAGTTACCAAGCCCACTGTCCATAAATCAAATGTCGCTTTGAAGTTGCAGAATGCTTATGCTCGTTGTTAAGGACATGCGAAGATAAATGAAACTATGTATTTGCTGCTAGGCGAAAGCTAAAACAAAAAACCCACCAAACAACAAAAACAAACAGCAAATAACAAAGTATGCGACGCTGCGAGCTGTAAATGTTCAAATAGGTTTTAGGAATGTGAAGCTGAATATATAAGTTGAATATTAAATATCCTGTAATTGTTCAATGAATATATTGATAAGTGGATACGTAAATAATACGAAATACTTATGATGAAGGTTGATATTCTTATTAAAAATTCAAGGAATGGTTACGAAACCTGAGTAAAGTTCATTTTTTGCAATTCATTTTAAGTTTTAAAATATTTAATTGAGACAGAGTGATAAGTATGAGTTGATGTACCAATACTTGGAATACTGATATAAGCACCAAGTTGCACTGAGTTGCATTCTTAAGTCTTTAATAAATATAAAGCGGATCCAAGCAAAAGTAAGGCATACATTCATAGACATATATGCCCATTTCGCGTACGTACAGGATATAGAAAATTGCCATTACAACTCGATGCACATTGGAGCATAGAACACACACTTTTGCGGCTGTGGATATGGATATGGATATGGAAAGTCGGCAAAGCTGACATTTCTCGTTACACACCATTTGCCTTGGCGCACATTTTCGCACTAGGGGTAAGAGCGATTTGAGGTCTGCAAAATGACTCGACGAAATTGGAGTCGGTCTAGTTTTTGGGTGCCGATTTGTGTCCTACAATTTGCTGGTTTTTGGAATGCGTTTTGCGTTGCTTGGTGATGGTGATGGTTTAAAACGTGACACGGATCATATGCAAAATTCGTTTGGGAAAATGCAAATTTAATGCATAAATTACACATCCAAATGTCTGGCGATAAGGACGGCTCATAATTTTGTGTAACGCTGTCCCGTTATAAGGCAATCAAAGTGGCGGCCAACTGGCACATCAGCTGTAAATTGAATTAACTCAGGCCGCGCCACTACTCTCCACCCCTCCACACACCTAGCACTCGCCGAAAAAGAGACGAAGCATTAAGTAAATTTTGAAAGGAGGCCCAAAAACACATCCTTCACATCCTTATGGCTGCCACTTTATTCCTTTTTCGCTTGCGTGCACAACACCATAATGAACATTCCGAGCAGGATGAAAAGTCAGCCGGGGCAGGCAAGCTGCCACACGGTATGGTATGATAATAAAAACTGTGCCACACTCACACAAATACCAAACTCAAAACACGTGTGATATGCTCAATAGATACAATTACAAAGACGCTGTGTATATGTGTGTGTGAGTGGCAGTGTGTGTGTGTGTGTGTGTATGCATTGCTGTTGTTGTAGCTCAAGTTAATTGTCCCAGTCCTTCGGGTTGCATTGAGTTAATCGAGCCAGTGCGAGTAAATACTCCATTGATGGCGTGTATGCTCTCTGCTCGCATTGTGGAGATAAGTCACGGCACGAGCTATATTGCGCATTGTCATTCTCGCAGTATCACAATATAAAACCCTCCACACACATAACTGACATGTTAATTAAGATTACTTACGGCTGGAAGCAGACAAAGAAACCATATCAACATGCTGCACACAACAAGTGTTTTGGCAACATTAAATGTTGCTTGGCTACATTTGTTTCAGTGCTCGAGCAACACTTATGTGTTTCAGCAACTTTTGTGTCTGGGCAACATTTGAGTGTTTCGACAACATTTTAGTGTTTCGACAACATTTGTGGCTAAGCAAATTTGTTGCGGTTGCCAAAGTTGGCTCCCAAAATTGTTTAATATTTGTTTTAAAGGTATTTTGAATTTTAAACTAAGTTTGTAACAGAGAAAACTTAAAGTTTTATGTAAAAGTGAAAATATCGTATTTAAGCTCTAATAAGCAATAAGCAATAATTAAAAAAATGGTTTATAGATTTAGTTAAAGGTCATCGCATAGTCAAGCAAAATCGGTTTTTAAATTTTCTCTTGGCCTCTTTGACCACAAAATATCAACACTCAAGCTGCTGGCGCGCTGCCATGAGGAAAAATAAGCGTATTGTGGGACAACAAAATAAATCTGCAAATATTTAACGAAAAATCTTTACTCAATTTGTTTCTCGATTTTCTTTCCTCTTCTGTCGTCTGTCGTCTGCAGCAATTTTAGCGTTGCTTTTGTTTTTGCGTTTATTTGCACGCTTTTTCTTTCGTTGCCGGTGCGTTTGTTAATTTCATAAATAATTAGTTGCAATTAGCTCGCTTTTGTGTGTAGCCTAGGTAAGTTGATTGCTTTTGGCCTGACTGCCTGCTCTTGATGTTTATCGAAATGGATTTTCTTAAGTATTACGTTTATTTTGTTATTTTGTTGTTCTCAAACGTAGCTTTGCTTTAATAATAATAATGCAAATCTGTTCCAATTATTATACTTATTTGTTTATATTTATAATAATATCTGAATACATGTTGTTTCAGCCAATGTTTTGCCAGTTTTAGGCCATTTCAATTAGCTGAACCCGAAAAAACACCATTTTCCGTGTAAAATTGAATTTTCTAGTGACACGTTTAAAGTTGTTTTTGATTTTGTTGTTGTTGCTGTGCAGACTGCCATTCTGCTTGAATTGTTCATAAATTTTATGGTAATTGCTTCAGGACATGCCTGCCAGCATATGGCCTAAAGGCGCACGTGTATCTTTTTGGCTTTAAGCTGTTCGCAACTGAAAGTCGGAGACACCAATTAAATTGTAATAGGATTTTGCAAAGAAGTAGCTTACGGCGCTTGGAACTATGCAACAGTTTCCGTGCAGAGTTGATTAAACTTCCACGGGGCCAAAGTTCTTATAACTTGTTGACAAGCAACAGCTAAATTATGGCCTCTTATCTGTGGATGTATGTGTATGTGTGTGTGTGTGTGTGTGCGGTAAATATGCAGTTGCCAATTTACGGGGCTTGTGATTAACATAATTTGTGGACAAGGCATCTGGCGTTGCAACTTTCACATGTTCAGGCAATTAGTTTCATGAGGCTGTGTGTGGCATAATCAGCATTTAATTAATGCCCAACTTATGGCAAAATAAATGACCTTTACTCTGATTTCCATATTAATTGGTAAATTGCTTGCTCGATCACAGGGCTTACGCATACGAGATGACAGGCAGACAGACAACATGACAGACAGAAACAACCGCACGGATGATGCTGAAAATCGTTTTCAATGTGGCTTGCGGCTTCTGCAGTCTCTGTTGGCTTTCCATCCTCATTTTGTTTTGTTTGTTTTTTGTTTTTTGTTTTATTTTTTGCTGGGGTTTTGCCAGCCGCACATTGAGGTCTGTGCTAAGGCGTCAAGTTTCTAAATTCACACACAAGTGCCTTGTCTGAAACATAAATCAGACGAGAGCAAGAGGGGCACAAAAATTGCGCTCCTCATCGCCTGGCTAATGAGGTGGTACAAATAAATTGCAAATTAATATTCAATTATGGGGCAAATCATTGATTCTTGGGACTATGTTGCATTTTACTTTATTTATGTGGCAAAAACATGTTGCCTGCTTTGGCATTCACTCATCAGAGAGGCCAGTCACGTTATGACTTATTATTATGTGGCACATGTCGTATATTTTATGAACTCTGCCTGCCGACGCTTAACTCGTACAAAACTATGGTGACGCCGTCTATCCCAGACAGACAGATAGGCAGACCTACAGAGAGATCCTCATTCATTTTGAATAATTTAATGAGTGTGTTCGTTATATTAAATCCGTCGTGCGACCGCACATTTATCATACACACACACATACACACACACACACACATGCTTCTGGAGTCCTTAACCTTAGCCAGATGCACCGTAGCAGCTTTGCCTTTCTTTGTTGCTGCTGTGGTATTTTAATGCGTTTTTAATTGTTGCCCCACACACACACACACACACACACACACACACACACACACAAACAGCGGAAGTGTCGTTTTAATGGCATACAGTGGCTGTCGGAGCCATTTCCATCGTGTATTTTAAATGTTGTTCATTAAAGTCCAGAAAAATGGAATGTAAGTCCAACCAATGAAATATACTCTTTGCCATACATCAGTCTGTAAATTATAAGCCGAAATAAAAGTAAGAATAAAGAAAAGCGAAATTCAGTCGACAGTTAAGCGAGTTAATTAATTTTAACTACGCCTCCCAAGTATGCATTTGCCGCAAAAGCTGTCGTCGGCGCTGCTTAAAAAATTGTTTCCAAGCTAAATTTTGTTTATGTATTTTCCGCGACATATTTATACGCGTTCGCACGAAAGGCAGTTGGCAAACAAAATTGGCGATAAATCAACTGATAATGTCAGCACATTTAACGACAACAACATGGTGCTAGCTGGTACAATGAGGTCGGGACCTAGAATTGGATTCGGGGTCTGGGTCCGGGTAGATATCATTCGAGTTGCTTGCGGCTGTAAAAGCGACATCAACTTTTGCATTGCTTCAAACCGTAGCGAAACCAAACGAAACGAAACGATTCCGAGCATTGGAAGTGCGCACACAAATCAGCTGCTTGGCAGTTGTCACAAGTTTTGGGTTTTTGGCTTTCGTCAGGCCCCAATCAGTGGACTATTTCCCTTTTGCGTTTGCATAGCAAATTAAGGTGAGGCGTCCGAAAACAAGAATAGGAAATTACCAGACGGCAAACTTTCCCGAAAAGGGGCAACAAATTCTATAATTAAAGCGGGACAACAACCATTTTATTTATAGAAAATTCAAACAAATAATTGCCTATGTAAATACATATTTGACAGAGGGAAATGTGTTGGCGCTATAACCAATAAAATTGTAGAGCCTTGGAATAAGTTATTTTAACTCAGACACCTGGGTTGCATTGTAAAACTATCTAAATAAACCAATGACATTTTCTCTCATACTACTACATTTTAGGCAACTCAATAGGCATTGCTCTCCTTTTCTTTAGTTCCTTGTCTCGGCCTTAGCGGATTTGCTGCTTTGCTCAATGATTGCTAATATTTGTTCAAATGCTGATGCCAAGCTATCCACAAATTCCTTGCCTTGAGCCTGATTCTTATATGAGGTCACAATGGCCCCAGCAAATTCGTTTTGAATCGAGTAGCTGCAAGAAAAGGCAGAAAACAGTTAAAGGTCTGCAGTAATAAATGCGAAAGGATTTGGACTCACCCCACGCCCAGGCCATCCTTGACGACGGGACCAAAGGCACCGGCTACTACAGTGTCGGTGCCCAACGTTGAGGTGCTTATAATGTTATAATTGATGCGCTTATAGGCCTCTGTCTCGAATAGTGCCGGCATCGGTAGCCCCTCCAGCATCGCCGTATGCCTCAAGGAGAACAGGTGACGATCGAAACCCTGTCCCATGGCAGCCTCCTTGGTTAGCTGACCGTGCACAATGCTGCACTTGTCAATCATGGCCCGCAGCTCCACTGCGCTTGGTTGCTTCTGTGATGGCTGCAGCACTGCCTCGCAAAAGGCTTTGGTGGCAATTGTGCAGGGACGCATTGTCTCTGTGCGACCATGACGGAATGCCGATGTGCTGCAGGACTCATAGGTGCCCACATAGCGTTTGAAGGCTTGCCGGTAGGCCAGCTGGAAGGCAAGCTGTATGATGGAGTCAGGACTTAAGCCATGATGCTTACAGGTGCCCTTAGTCAGATGCGGGTACTGCAAATAATTCATATCCAAACTATCCACAATTTCAGCGTTGTGTGCATAGGCTGCTTCGACATCTGCACGTGTCCTGTCATCAATCTCAAAGTTCAAGGGTCGCACATTGCTGGCATCGCCCTCAGCTGGCGTGTGCGGCGAGGTTGCTGACACAAACGGCTGCTTCTGTGTGTCCCAGTACATCTCATTGAAGTAGCGCAGCACAGCGACACCATCGCCCCACGAGTGCTCAAAGTTGACAGCAGCTACTCCATCCGCACTGATCAGCAGCGAAATCGATTTATCAAACCACCTTCCAGTGAATTGTTTTTAGTTAAAATTACTACATTTACGATATGGTTTGTTTCTTTGCACTCACCGATTCGTTGCCTTGCCCGCCAGTTGATGCTTTATTAAGGGCACCTGATCAGCCTCATTGTACATTCCATCCTCTTCGCTGTCCAAACACACACAAAACAGCGCCGCATCCACCTCTCGCTCTAGGAGATCTGCATTCTTTGGATTGCTAACAAAATGTGTCCGCGCTCTTGCCCACTGATCACGCTGTTGCGTTGTCAATACGCCCAGAGGCACGCTGGCGGACTGCTTTTGTGCATCCAGCGCAAGGATGCTCTTAAGACGGCCCAGTATAACGCTGGGACTCTCTATGTAACCACTGCTGTCGAGCACATTCATTGCGTACATGTTACCGCGTCGCATGACCAGTATGTGCTTAGAGTCCGCCGACTGCACCAGCTCATCCTTGCCCAGCTTGGGTAGCCGTGTCGTACCAAACAGCCGACTATATTGACTCATGTCCAGCGGGAAGGCCTTGAATGCATACGAGGCGTACGTGGCAAAGGCCTTGGGCGAGATGGCCATCCAGCGTCGATAGTTGTCCGTGTTCGTCTTCTTGGGATTCATATGATAGACCTCTGGCTCCAGGATGTTAGCCTGTAGCGAGCGCCAGAAGCGCAGCGAACTGATGATCAGATTTGTGGCACGAGTCACCTGTGGCTGATATGCTGGCCGCGTATCGTCACGCATCACTATCAACGGGTTATAGTTGAGCGGCAGTGGCGCCCGATCCGAGAGGTACATATCGAACCAGGGCTGCGAGATGTAGCTGGTGTGTTTGTTGGCTTCATCGCTCTGTTTTAGTCGAGCATGCAACTCCATGCCAACGCCCTGGCGAAACTGGTCGACCACCTGTTGCGTGTCTCGTTGCTCCTCAGCACTGAGTAGGGGCTGGACGGCGGCCAGGAAACGCTCGCATGTCTTCTCCAGCAGTGGTATGGGCAACCTGGGCAGCGAACGTTGAAAATAGAGCGTTGGCAGTTTGGAATTCTGTAGGTACTGATAGTGATTGCCGTGCGTTGTTGTTGTTGTTGCGTATCGTACGCCAGCCAAATTGGTGCCAAAGCGCCATTTATTTACTTTTAGTCTAAACATTATTTGTAGTGAAAGCCGCTTACTGCAAATAAAGCGCACTAAAAGCCAAAGTCCACTAATCCACGCAAACAGCTAACAGCAACAGCAACAATTGCCATATTCATTCATATCAGACTCAGCTGTTTAGTATTTCTTTTGGTATTTATTGCAGATCACAGCTGATCGCACGAGTGAAATGCTATCGATATATCGCATGATTGCCATAAAACAATCGAAATCGCTTTAACCATAATTTAAATTGAAATTCAACTGAAACCGCATCGATTCCGTTTCGTTTCGATTTGATATTCTTTGTTTAAATGAAGCTTAAGCTCACTTTAACCTTTCGAACGGCGACAAACTACAACGATTTATTTGCATTTGCTTAGACGTCTGTCTTCTGTCTGACTGCCGCTTGTTGCTTTTCCGAGGGTTTGGCGACTCGCCCAGTCAAGTGAGCCGTCTGCTTGTGCTATTATTGACTTGGCCAACGGACAAAGAGGGTCGCTCGTTCGTTGTACAGGTGTATTAGATAAATAAACTGCACATAAAAAAAAATTAGAATAACAAATATGCAAATTTGCATAAACATTTTATGCTTTGTCGAATTTAACGAGCCAACCTTGGCATATCGATTTCGTTCACAAATTGGCGTATATGCATATGTATGTGTGTAGTATATTTTTGTATCCCCAATTTTTCGTATTAAGAAATGTGCGCTGGATGCTCTGTTCTACTTTGCTCCCTGTCCAGTCTCACAGTTCCATTAGCATTTGCATAAAATCGAAAATCGCCTTCAACGCACCGGATGCGAACTGCGAACTGCGAGTGCGGATGGGTTGCAGTGTAATTGGCCAAAGTGGAATTGCGTTAATATTTAACAAGCCAAGAAATGTGTAACAGTGTAGCCTGGCAGAGCAGAGGATCTGGCTGCAAAACCCCGGAGCCTTGGGTAAGAAGCGCGAAAATAAGCGCTAAACGACGAAGGCTATGAATTGTAAAGGGCGCTTCGGAACTGGAGTTTGGATGCTTAATTCAGCCACAGGAAGATTAAATGTTAAATTGTTGCAAAAGGACATCGAAAGCGAGGCCATTGAATTGAACCTACCACCAAGCGTTGCCAACTTATTTACATATTCGCTTATACGTGTTTTAAAGCCGTGCGAGTTGTGCGATATAATATGAAATTTTCTGAGAATAAAACATAATTTAATTTTAAGCTGACAGTTGATATTTGCGATTTTGCATTATTAATATGCATTGACACTTGTGCATTCCAAATTAAATTTTCGAGTCAAATTAAATGATAAATCCAATTAATCAAATTAATTGTGATCTGATTTTCCAATATATTGGAGGCAGCTTTTTATTGGAATAAAAAGAAAATGATTTACGAGAAACTTGTGAAATTAATTAATTGAAGAAAGATTTTAATAGTTTCGATCAATATTAAAGAACAACAAAAACATAGATATTAATACTAAAAACCAATTTGAGTTTGAGCTTTCCTACACTTCGAGGGTATTTAGTATTCGTCTCTACTGGTATTGACGCGTAAGCTACCCGACCTTTTTTGCATTTTAATATTCAAATTGGTTTACATTATTAATTGATGCTATTCAGAGACCGTGAGCTGTGGTTATTCATTAAATACTGTGGGAAAGCGGACAGAAATCGTATTAAACAAAGAGTCCCCAGTTCTTGACAGTTTTAAGCACAACTGTCGCCGCCAGCCAGAGTCAAGAGAAAATAACTCGCAGAAAATGTAGCGAAAATATTTGTGAATGGCAAATCAACATTTCTGTTCAGTGTTTGCGCGACACAATAAAACTTTTGTTCCTTTCGGTTGAGCTGGGCGAAACAAATGGGGGGAAAAGGACATAATTTTTCTACACCCCCCAAAAGAATTTCAATGCGGGCATGAAAAAGGTCAAATTGCCAAGGAATCGTGACCAAATATGGGGTAAATACAAACTGTCAGACAATTGTTAGTTTAGTGTTGAACCGTGTGAAAAATAAGTCGATTTCTGTTCTTCCTTTAACAGGCTATTGAGCAAATGTAGGAAATGGCAACAATGGCCACTCTAAACAATAAAGTTGGCTCAGGTGACTCAACTAAACACGAAATATCCATTTCCACCAGTATTCGAATGACAAAAAGGATTTAACTTGGCTAACTTGACTTGCTGGAAGTCACAGATATAAATTTGCATATATGCGTCAGCGAAATACTGTGGGTACAAATAATCGAGAATAGGGAATCGAGGATCTTGAATAACCTACAAAATGGCAAAGTGAACAGCAATTTGCTTATGAAGCTACGTCATCATCAACTTCCTTGAGGATTCGGGCTATGGAGCATGAGTATACATATTATATACATATGGTTCAGTGCACCGCAACGAGATTATAAAGCTAAATCACAAGCGGAGAGAAACAAAAAATTAAATATACAAAGGATGTCGTTGTTCTGTGTGCCTCGGGCATGTCCTGATGCGAATTTCCTTTGTTAGCGTTACAATTTGCGCTGCAGGCATTCGAAAGTCAATTTAAATTTAATTTCTCGGTTGGGGCGTGCATGATAAATAAGTAAAGCCAGCTGCTGGATAGGGCAAAATCAACGCTGCCTCAAGCCAGAGGACGTTTCAGCAGTTGCTTCAAATTTCACTTGGATTTGTGCATGTTCATTTTGATAATTTGAAATGCCAATGCTTAATTATATTATACCCCCCAGTCAATTAAATAATGCAGATAATTGCTTAATTTAATGTACACTGAACTTTCACACACACTTTGCCTAAATTAATTTATGCCCAGTAGACGAAAGCTGCTCAGCAGCGCCGTTAATATACAACAGGTGAGAGAGGGACAGCATAAATAATAATGACAATGTCTGAGTTCAATGTCATCCTATAATCAATACTTGAAGTAGTCTCTGTTACAGAATGCCCTAATAGTACTTTAAAGATTGATGAATGACAAATTGCATTATGTCCAACTGAAGTGTTGAGCACATTGCAACTGAACTTTGACTTGCCCATGAAAAGGTAAACAACATTTTAATGTTTATACATTGGTTGCCATGTCAAGGGTGAAAGCCCGCTAAAGCCCTTGGGTGTGTGTACAGAAACAACAAATGCCAAATCGATGAGGAATTACTGTTTTCTGGTTTTAGCTTTCAATTGAAATAATAACTAATCTATCGGTCTGCTGCCATAAGTGCCCCTTAGATAAGATTATATTGTTCACTGGTCATACAATAGAGCATAAGTTAATGGCAGTTGGCAATTGATTTTTAGATGAACGAAACTTGATATGACTCTTATTGGGAACAAATATATTTGGCTTATAATCCACTTATATTTGCCTAAACGAAAGTACTTAGCATTAATATTAAGTTACTTGGCATAAAGTACTTCTATTTTCAGACACAGAAATTGGTTGAGTGACTGAAAATCTGAATAGGTAATGTAGGTGTTTTTAAGGAAAAGATTCAAATGGCATACGATTAATATTTAATTAAAAATCCAAATTTTTGCTTATCATTAAGCGTTGGCTTATACATATTTTCGAAAATTGCTGACAAATGTGTGTGTGTGCGGGTGTGTGATTTTAAGGAACGTGTGGAAGAGGCTAAATAATCAGCGCCACATCATTTGATGAAAGCCAGACAAATTACCGCTTGCTGTGCTTTGTTGGGCTTGGCTTGGCCCATGGCAGATTGCCGGGGCGTGCCCAGCGAACAGAAAACGGTACAAGAAATAAAAAACACAATATCATTTTTCACAGCGGCAACAGCAGCACCGAAATGAGGCACATTAAATTGCTATAAAGTCATCGTGCAGGAAGTCGCACTGACATGTGAAAGAGGAGTGCTGTGGAGAGATATGGCCAAATAGAGAGAGAGAGAGAGAGATAGAGAGATAGAGAGAGAGGGACATGTAACTTTTGCTTGTTATAAATTCAATTTCTCACGACTGAAGGAGCTCGGGGTCAGCCATGCTCTTAGAAAGCTGAATGTCTGAGCTGGCATGGTCGTAATTACATGAAATTTTAGGGCTAAAAGCAGATTGAAATGTTTTCTTTGTGATTTCATCGTTGTATTTGCTATTATTTTGTTGTGTTCTTTTTTTTTTGCGTGTCAGCGAGCGCTTTGGAAAATTTTATGGCCAACAATTAACAACTTGAGTGGGCCAAAAGTAGGCAACGATTTGCACACGTGCCGTGCTGCCCGCCATTAATCAAGATGGCGTCGGCTGCTGCTACTGCTGCTACTGCTGCTGTTGTTGCAGCAACTATATTCCAACTCTCCTCTCGCGCAGCACTTAAGTTGGCGAACGAGTGTAATGGCCCTTAAATTGCCTGTTACGCGGCAATCGGAATGAAATCCAAATGAAGGGGGAAATGCGAACAAATAAATCAACGCACTACAAAGCAAAAAAACAAAAAAAACAATACGATAACCGTACAAAATGTTTATGACTGTGCGTCAGCATCAACATTCAACATTCAACATTCAACAACAACAACATTGAGCTCGACCATTGCCAAGCTGGCCATTAAAAAGCCAATAAGCACGCGTCATTTGTTTATTGGGTGGCGACGCTTATGTGTTGGTTTTTCATTAAAATTATTATAGCTGCGTTATGCGCATGCAAAAATTTGGCTTATTGAATTATTTTTGCGAATTTTTCATCAGCCATGCGCGTGATAGCCAAATTGAAAATACCAGTGATTGACGTCAAGAGCCTGGCCTAAAACCATTGCTCGAATTTTCGAGGACACGTTGCCATTTTGATGAATTACACAGCTTACGGGATTTATTTGATAGCTCTTTTGAGAGGTAGTTTTTGTATTTCCCTGTGGATAATTGGAAAATGTTCAAAGTGACAGACCGTGAAGTAATCTAAATCTAAATTGAACTCGACTTAATTGACCGCTGATTGAATTTAGATGCGACAAGCAATTGTTTAATTGCAATGCAGTTTCAGAAATTGCTAAACAAAATGCACCTGATTAGTTTTCAAAGAAATGTAAAATGAGTATCCAAAATATATAAAATTAATTTAACATTAAATTCCCATTTTTAAGAAATTTTAAGTAATAAAAAAATATGAAATAGATTACATATATGTGTA